ATTTAGATCTCAGATATCACAACCATAAATATAGGATTTTTCCATCTCATAAACTGTAGGTTGGTAAGAAATATCTGACTGCACTGATCTAAACCAAAATACTCAAGATGCACACACATTGTTTCTTAGGTACAAGTGCGTTCAGCCTATGTTCTCACCCTATTTTGCTCTTTCCATGAGCTCTAGAATCTCAGATATGACTGTAACATTATGGGAAAGCATGAAGAAAAAAAAGGAAGATGCAGATAACTAACCATCAACTCAAAAGATTAGCTCAGACAGGCAGCCATTATTACTACCTCCAACCTTCCTACTGAAGATCAATAAGTATGACTTATTAATGTAAGGACATAAAGAATCATAAAGTCATAAACTCCAATATGAATTACTATCTGCATCCAAACTTTAGATTATAAAAAGCAATGCAATACAAACCCCAGAGATCACAAATCTGTGTTACTAAGTAGATCTCACAAGTTCTGATATTGCCAACCTCCTCAGAACTAAAACTCTTACGGTATTCTAGACTTTCAAGGTGGTCTCCCAACAACTGTACCCAATTAAAAAAAAGAAAAGAATAAGCGTTTTTATGTCTTGCCAGACCCTTGCATAGAATATAATACAATGTTGTTGCGTGTAGCCCTGTGTAACGAAAACAGTATAGGGCTAAGCACGTTATTCCCTAAGTACATTTCATTCTTCAGGGTTTTTTTTATTTTCTTTCCTTTGATCACTGAGTCTCATCAGCTGTAACTACTTACTAAAGGAAGTGAAATAGGAGATACCATGCTTTTCAACTGTCTGCTAGAACATGGAATAAAACCTTAGATATGTAAATATCTCCCCTTCTGTCTGATGGTCTTTGGTCTTGATCAATATTTAACATTCCTGCAGATTTAGTCAGCATTCCTAAATTTGCTGTCAATAACCAGAATAAACAGAAATTTACAGATTAAAAGCTATGTTATAGATTTTGTCCATCTTTATTTCCCCTCAAACTCTCATATAACCCACTGTACAAACCATACACACAAAACTTTATAAAGTGGCAGGATTTGACTTCAAGTCATTTAGCCTGTAACAAGGCTAGATGACAAAAATCGCTAATGCTGGAAGACAACTAGGTAGGCTTTGACTATTCTCAGGCAAACATGGCTGTTTTTCTTCCATTAGCCTTCACTTTTCCAATGAGAAAGAAAAGGGAAAATTGCAATGTTATAACTCTATTTAGAGGATAGCATTGATACAAACCAGGTTTCTTAGTGAACTGGGCAGCCCCAAGCATACAGTCTCCCAAGGCAGTGGTCAGGGTGAACGAGGTAAATTACACCAATGAAGTTATCAGTTTTAGACACACTTCATATACCTAGACTAATACTAATCCCTTTGTTTTACTTCACTGCTTTAACATTATATATCATAAATTTAATTAGGTGAGTGATGCCTGAACTGATGTATTCATATTTCAAAAGCCTGTAGATGGAATAGGAACAAGCCAAAGTTAACTGAGGTGAGATTTCTTAGAATTTCTTCTAAGAATCATGAGAAGTCTTAGAACAAAGTACTCCCAAATGACTTATTGTTCCAACCAGTGTTTCATCAAAATGAGTCTTTAGCATAGAGTAGTGACCCCAACTCAGTGATAACAAAGTCAAATGGAAAAAATCATAAGCCCTATAAATACATGAAATAATTTGATACTTCTTGAATTGAAAATACAATCTCTGCTTGGATTTTTCATTAAATAAGTTCAGTTTTTAAAGAATAATGCCTAAAGATTTCCTAGTTACCTGAAGAACAAGATAGGTGAACCATTAAGTGCTCACTATTGAGTCCCACGTATACTTTATGTCAGCCTTGATCTCTTTCTGGAGGTACTAAAACCATTAAACTTAATCCATTTGTGCTGTGTGAAATCAAAATAGTTGATCATGTCTGGAATGGATTGTCTCTCTTCATCAGCCTTTCTGACCAGATATGTCATAAGAAGAAAAGAGCAGACTGGACCTTACATGCAACTTCATCACTTGGTGGCACGTGGTTATTTCATTAAAAGCTGCAGTAAAATTAGGTCTTCATTGACACAGCAATTCTGTTGGAAAACTTATACACCATATTGCCAGTACATTGTGTAAGTCACTAATGTGAAAAAGTTTATCTTCTGTATTAGACAGATTGACACAAAACAAAACTTTGGCTGTCAGCGATGGAAAGAAGTAGATGCTAAAACATTTTTATATTGAACTTCTTGAAATTTAAGATAAATTTCTCCTTTTAAGAAAGAAAAGAAAAAAAAAAGAGAAAGAAAGCAGAGAGCAATGAAACTACTTAAAATTGCCACCTACTATCATCTAAAAAGAGTGCAGTTTAGCTCAACAGATAAAATGTTGCTTAAAAGACAGTCTCATGGGCAAAATGTAACACACAAAACCATGAATTTCACACTCCCAAACTGAGAATGTTCTCCACAGTGCAGCTGTCTTTCAGAAACTGCAAGTCATGCCAAATCAAACTAAAAAGTAATAACCCAGTTTAAACTTGTAGGATACTGAAGCAGTAGAAATGCTTAAGTAGCATAATGATAAAAGAACATTAAATCTCTTCAAATTTATCAGAAACAGGCAGTCTGCAAAGGAATTTGTAAGTCCAAGAAACAAACAAATATGAAAGGAGCCTTTGAGAATTTGAAGGCAGCATTACAAAAGTCAAATTATTTGTTTCTGAGACACAGCTTTCCAAAAGCTTTTAATACCTAGGGATGAATGAACAAGGACCTGCTTGAAACATTTTAGAAAAAAAATTGTGAATAAGGACCAAGTCATTAGGATTTAATAGTACTTTTTATCACCAACTGCACAGCATGAAGTTGAAGAATAGTAATGTCTCAAAAAATCTTGACAAGTCTCTGAGGGAATCAGCACCTAAGTACAGAGCATGACTCAAAGAAGCACTATTTTCAGGTTTTAGATAGGTCCTTCAAGGGCATCATTTTTTTGTTTTAGCATTAAAAAAAGCAGAACCCTGGCTGCAGACAGCAAAAGATTTCAATTCTGAAAACATCCTTGTGGACAGAGCAGAAGATGGAATTTAATGCCTTTTAATGCATGACAAATAAATCTGTAAAGGATTTCCAACCCTAATTCTAAGATAGCTTCTGATTCCTTCAGAAAGTTCTGGAAGTGTAGACAGTTCACTGAAAACATCATGCCAAGCTATCAAATGCAAACAAACTTACTGGTTAAGGAAAAGAAGAATGAACATTTAGAAATTAGTCCATCTTGAATACTATCAATTAACATTGAACCCCAGAGAAGCAATATTTAGAAGTCCTGCACAAGGAAGATATAAAACCACAATCACATAATGCAAGACCAAATAGACTAAAACCTTGTCCTTGACCATGACTGCAGGGGACTAGAGGGACAGGTCTAGAGAACAACTCACAAGAAAATGATTCATTTTTTCTCATAAGAGGAACTAGACAGTTGTCAGACAGGTTTAAGATAATGAAGAGAAAGTACTTCTGTATACCCTTCACATTCAGTTTTGCCTTTTAATAAAATGCAAGTCCAGAGCAAAAGAAGCAGGTTTAGGCAAGCCTAGCAGGCCACAAACAGAAGAAATCTCTACTCACCCTTCAGTGCATGTTTAAGGTAACTCAGTGGGGCATAAATCTGACCATGTGTGTGTGTAAATATATACATTTGGTCCTAAGTCCATACTAACTCACTTTCCTGTGTGGGCAGTGGGGAGCACCTGACAGCCATTTCTGAATGTATTTTGTATTCTTGCTTGTGCATTCTAAGGAAGCATTGGCTAGTAAATGGCTAGCAAATGCATTTAATCATTTTATGTAAAGAACTACCATTCAGGAAAATGTTTTTAATGTTTACTTAGGCATACGCAACTGAAAATCACATACAAGCTTCCAATTGGTCAACAATATGGAACTTGCTCTTCAAGGACTTTTCTGCTGATTGTGCTTTACATGGAATACTGCAACATTTTCCTTTTTGCTTATTTAAAATAGGCAAGTAATGGGATTCTTGCTAGCTTAGAACCATAGAATCAGCCAGTTTGGAAGGGATCTCTGACTGTCAAGTCCAACCCTTAATCTACTACCACAGTGGTTACTAGACCATGGTACTAAGTGCCACTTCCTATCTCATCTTTAAAAACCTCCAGGGATAGTGAATCCACCACCTCCCTGGGCAGCACATTCCAGTGCCTGATTACCCTCTCTATAGAAAATTTCTTCCTAATATCCAACCCAAACCTTCCCTGGCAGAGCTTAAGACCATGCCCTCCTGTCCTACTGATGATTGCCTGGGAGAAGAGACTGATGCTCACCTGGCTACCACTTCCTTTCTGGGAGTTGTAGTGATGAGGTCTCCCCTGAGCCTCCTCTTCTCCAGCCTAAACAACCCCAGCTCCCTCAGCCTCTCCTCACAGGACTTGTGCTCCAGTCCCTTCACCAGCCAGGTTGCTCTCCTCTGGACCTGCTCCAGCACCTCAATATCCTTCCTGAACTGAGGGGCCCCAAAACTGGACACAGCACTCCAAGGTGTGGCCTCACCAGCGCTGAGATACAGGGGCAGAATCACTTCCCTGGTCCTGCTGGTCACACTGTTCCTGATACAGGCCAGGATGCCATTGGCCTTCTTGACCACCTTTACTTGTTCTTTACAGTTTGAGATAATCCTTTTGTAGAGAACATGCAGTAACACATCCAGCCTAATGAAATAACTTAGGAGTTGGCTGGTTGATCTTAGTGCTTGTGTGTTATAAAATAATTCAGAAAACCCAGACTTCGAGAATAAAATACTGAGGGTCACTTTCAATGGATTTGTAAATTTAAGATTAATTTTATCAAGTTTGCATGTAGCAAGAGAATGTTTCTGTGTGGCTGCACAAAAGTGTTTTCATCCATAATAAAAAACCTTCATACAAAACCTTCATACAGTAAGTACTTCAATAAGAAACCTTCAGAACACACAAACTTCTGGTAGTATACTCACATTTTATTTCAATTGACCCACAAAGACAGTAATAAATTACAGAAGTTTTTGTTAAGAAACCTGTTTTAACAAATGGAGAGGTTCCTGTTTAAACATGATCATTGAAGACATGTAGTTTTAGACATTGCTTATCTCAATTCCACTTCTAAGACGATACATTAGAGGTGACAAGTGGAGTCATCTCATATGAAGTCATAAATCAGCCATGCAGAAAATCATAAGCTGGGGTTTAATATCACTTCAAGTCCCTGGTACATTCTGGTTTCCTCCCTGTAAAATAAGTTCTATTTAATTTGCAGTCAGCATCATGCACACAAGAAAGGGGTGACTGCCCTAAGGCTGAGCTATATGAACCTTCTACATGACACTAACCCTTAAGTCAGAGCCATTTTTCAATACAAATTACTTCCTTTGTACAGGATGGGATTTTCTTTTCACATACCATTAGTACGGATTCCATTCCAGAGGACCAGCCTTACAAACAGATCCAATAACTATCCCACGCTTTCTTGAGACTTTTTTGCTATTTAGATTACCCAAATCTATATCAAGTTTCAACAGTTACCACAAAGGTTTTCCATTAGTTCAAACTATTGTTTTGTTTTCCAGTAAGGAATAAATTAAAACTCTTTTAGATATAGAAGGCAATGCATTCACTAACATCTGATAATCCTTTTCAATTTACATACCTGGAGACCAAACAATTTACAAGAAACTCTTCACTCAAGACTTCCATCACAGAGGTTCACAAAGAACCAGATTTGAGAAACCTAAAAAAGATTTACACAAAATTGATTTTAAAACTCAGATAATATAACCAGATGACAGCTGAAAACCTTCCTACAAGCTATTAATGAAGTTGATTTAGCAGCTTCACAAAGTTTAGTAATTTCATTTGTTCCTCCCAAGCATGATCCAAAGAAGGGTTTCAACCTCACCTCTGGGTTTGCAGGAGAACTCTTATACCCCTCTGTGTTGGCCACTTAAGACACTGCCAGACTTAAGAGGGCAAAGCATAAAAGGGGAGTAGATTCCACTATATTATATTGTTTTCTTATTAACTAAGATGATCTGAACTTACCATTTAGTCAAAAGAGATATTACAATTTAATTGAAATTTGTGAATTATGAAAGAGCAAGATTTAAAACTATCTGCAGTTGTCCTTAGACTAGAGCACACTTACCTTCCAGTAGAAGGTATTTATTCCTAAGAAGTCCTGAGCGTTGCTTCACATTTAGGCCTGATTATCCATGTTTAGAATATTTATTGCATGAGGTTGCTAAGTCGGGCCCCTAAACAACACACAAAAAAATTAATAAGATTATGGTAAAATTATTAGTGTTTAGACCTTCTCAAAGCCATATGATACTGAGTTGCTACTATGTTGGGTTAGACTTTTACAGTAATTTTCTACAAAATTGCAGAGGTTGTTTACATGAAGCTTATTGTCAAATCAAATGATAATCAGTTTTTCAATCTGTCAAAAAAAGTTGTTTTCATTAGCCTATTTAAAATACATAAAACGTATTTTTAATATATTTTAAAATATACAACTAATCAGAAACATGGAAAGTTTATTAAGCCTAAATTCCTTTATGCGTTGACCCAACCTTAAAACTACAAATGTCCAAATTAGACTGATTTTCACCAGAGAATCCATTGCTATCTTGTGTCTACTTACATATATATACCTAGCTTGTAACAAGTTATACACAGAACTCGACTAAGCAACATCAAAAGACACTGTTACACATATAGTAGATTGGAAAGAAAGCCCAAGCTATCAGGGACTTCTTTGTTTGAAGTTATTATCATGAGAGTCTAAGTGCCTACAGCATTCAATACCCTAAACACTGCAGGGTATAAGTGTAATATTCTTGATGTAGCCTATAAAAATACAAAACCACTGCAGTGAATCAGATTCAGGATCTGTGCAGCTCAATACCTGCAAGTCAAAGAACAGAAGGGTGCAAATGTGTACAAACACATTTTTGTCTCAGAGACGTAGGGCAGCATCTCTATAAATGTCTTTAGAAACTCGCGGGATTTAATGCGTATTGAAGCCAGAAGCCTCTTCTAGCCAGCCCCAGGCTGTAGAGAGAGCGGATGAGGTCGGTGTGCCCCTCACCCACGGGCGTCCAAAGGCGTGGCCGCAGCTCTCCAGCGCTTCGCCGGGCCCAGGCCCGCCGCTCCCGGCCTCCGGCCCGACCGGGACATGGGAAGGACTCGCCGGTGCCTCGGGACACACTGCGGAAGGAGAGAGGCGTCAGCCCGGGACGGCGAAGGGGCCGCGGAGAGGAAAGGCAGGGAAGGGCCGTTTGTGCCTCACGACAGGATGCAGGGCGGAGAGGAGGGCTCCGCACTGGGTTTTTGTGAGGGAGAGCTGTTCTATCCCCCTGTGTTGACTCCTCGGAGCACCGCCAGGCTCCGAGAGGGCAAGATTTGAAGGGAAGGCAGGGTAGGTCCCGCAACCACCCTCCTCCCTTCCCCCATCCCACCCCAAGCCCAGCCCGTCCTTGCGGAGCTGGGGCCTGTCCCGCGCGCGAGCGGCCAGACCGGCCTTACCGCGCCGGCGGCCGGCAGGGAGAGAGGGAGGGCGGCTGCTCACGTGGCCTTAAATACCGCCCCGCGCTCCCGCGAGACCCCGCGCGGCGCTCACCGCCGCTGCCTATTGGCGGGGCTGGCGCGCGTGACCCCGCGCGGCGCCGGTGAAGCCCCAACCTCGGAGCCCCTGAGGGCAGAGCGTCCCGCGGGGGTGGGCTCGGCTCGGCTCGGCTCGGCTCGGCTCGGCTCGGCTCGGCTCGGCTCGGCTCGGCTCGGCACGGCACGGCACGGCACGGCTTGGCTTGGCTTGGCCCGGCTTGGCCCGGCCCGGCCCGGCCGGTGCTCCCGCCCCGCCGAGGCCCGGGGTGAGGGGGCCACCCGCTACCGCCTCTGTGAGGAGCACTCCGGTCACCCCGCGGCGCTCGGTCAGGCGAAGCCCTAACGGGTCATAACGGGGCTTTCGTCGGGCCGAGCTCTGCGTGCTCGGAAGCCTCTAGCACAGCAAAACAAAAGCGTGTTCGGTGAGAAGTGGCAGCTGTGTAGGGGGTTTGAGGCAATAAATACGGCTGATCTCTGTCTAAACTCCCGTCTAAGCCCTGCTTAGGAGGCTTAGGAGCTGTCTGTGAGGACGGCGAGGAAAAGCCCCGATCCTCGCTAATGCCCCTGTTAGAGCTCATGCAGCTGGCTCCGGGGCTGCAGGGCACGGATGACACGGTGGCACCAGGCCCGTCCTGCAAGGCAGCGCTCAGCGTGGGTGCAGAGCATTGCTGCTGCTCTGCCCCAGCTAAAATGGGCTGCCCGGCTGGGCATGCTGCTGAGAGGGCTTGCGGTGAGTATGAGCAGATGAGCATGAACGGGGAATTGGTAATTTGTAACACAGAGACTTTATATAGAATCATAGAATATGCTCAGCTGGAAGGGACCCATCAGGATCATCAAATCCAACTTCTGGCCTTGCGCAAGACACCACAAGAATCACCCTGTGTTCCTGAGAGCATTGTCCAAACTGAATTGAATGAAAGTCCCTGTTTCACAAAAAGCTGTATGTATTGCTGAAAAAGGTGTATATATTGAAGATAATTCATAGCTTCCTGTCTCGGTAAGAAACTGAGGCGTCTTGGCTCATGCCGAGTTACTATCAGCACAGCTCCTCTGAGAGTGTGGAAAGAAAGTAACAGGGGGGCCCCTGACCTTAATCTGGACTCCGCATTTAAACTACCCTCAGCAGATCTAAACCACTATGATTCAGCCTGAAACAAACAGTCACAGAGTTGCAATGAAGGGATGATTCTCATAATTGTTTCTTACCACTTCTAGTTACTTCTGACTAATTCTTGATACTCAAAACATTGTTGCAGTTGTAGTCCCTGTGCCAGTTAAGTTTATGGTCAGAAGATCAGGATTCAAAAGTTGTCTCAGGACTCTAGGTAAGTCAGTCTCTGGAGATGAATTTGTGAGACACAGAGTTTCAGGTTATTTCAAGTGGGGTTCTCTGCAATGACCTTTTTCTACAATCAGACACCTGAATCACATCAGTCCTTTTTTGTAATGTAGTGAAAAAACAAATGGTATTCAACCTTTAATTTTTTTACCGCTTATGCCAGTGGGATTTATGTCAAGTTTAGTTTCTTCTTTTCCCATACAGAATGTAAACTGACACTTGTTAGCACAGCAAACCAGTGATCAGTATCCATCCCAGGGTGAGCATTTTAATCTTTCACGTAATTCTACACCTTTTTCGTTCCCTGCACAAGCTTTCTTCTGTCTTCCCCCTACAAACTTTGCATTGTTTGCCTTCTCTCTGGTTCCATGAAGCTTACTTTTATGTCTGATAGTGGCACAACTTCAAGAGGAGGAATGCAGAGGCTACCTGACCTGTCTGTCCTTTTCTAAACCCTCCCTATAGAATAAATTACTGTCCTAGCAAGGGTCAGATGTGGATTTCTCAGCTAGTATAATGTTTACAATAGTAAAAAGATAAGCAAGATTCAGAGATCAATTTAAGCAAAGAGTTGTTTTCTGTGCTTTATCTTTAGAATAAAGTCATACTGTCTCAAAAATATGAAGCTTTACAGTATTTTGAATTAAGAGATATAATTTCTCAGATAATTTGAAAATATTTTGTTGCTTCGAAGACAACAGTCTTAAAGAAGAATAGTGATTCCAAAGTTGGGTTGATTTTTTGGTTGTAGACTCCCCACATTTCCTGTGGATTTCCATGAATTTTTCATGGACAGCAACTCCCTCTCACCATTAGAATTTCAGGTACAAATGGAGTAGTTTCCATGGACCTGCTACGAGCCATGCACTACAGACTCAATCCATGGACTGCAAGTTAACATTTGGCATTGTACTAAAGCTCCCAGTCTGTTCTGCAGTGGGGGCCAAGCTTCATGGAAAATCCTTATCCCTCATGCTTGTGTCTATATATTTGCCATCCTGTTAAAGATATATTGCTATTTTTAGTAAAATATAGTTTTTAGTAGAACATAATTTAAAATGAGATACAAAATATATATTAAACAAAGTTTGTACAATTCTAAACCTACAGTGTCAGCACTGAAATTATTTCTGATATCTGAATTATCTTTTAATTCTTACTATATATTTTTCAAGCTTCCAGAAAAACTTAGTATTGTTTTTATTGACTTTTCAATTAATATCGTATTTTTAATCAGCTGGAAATATATCCTAAATTTGAATCTGTTCCAAGCACTTGTTCAGCAAAATAGACTGATGATTACCCATTTCTGTAACTGAGTTTATTACAAGAAAAACATCAATGAACCCTATGTGGAATTTTCCAAGATTTCTGGAGAGGAAATGCAATATCCTCTTTGTAATACGGAGTGAGCAGATATTCTAGTCCCAGATTTGTTATTAACTTTGCAGTGTAACTTCAGACAAGTTGCTAAATTTCTGCTGCCTGTTTCTTTTGCTTTGTAAAAGAAGCTGCTATTAACATGCCACCAAAGAATTTAACAGTTTGAGAGAATACTTGCAAAGCACTCTGAGAAAGTCAGACAGAAAATGTTATGGTAGTCCATGCCTGTGCTAGCCAAAGAGGATATTTACAGTAGATTCTTATTCTATGTAGCAAAATAAAAATGTTGAAGTGTATAACCAGATAAGACCAAGACAGATCTAAAATTAAATGCAGAAGGAATTTTTTTGACCTTTCAACAGAAATTATATAACCACTCTTAGGTTATAAATAGTCCTTTGTTTTCCTTCTCTTTGTCTAACACTTGGAAGAAACACAGGCTTAGTTGTTTGTTATGAAGATACAGTGCAATGCTTTAGAGTAGAAACAATTGTGCACTGTTCTTTATTTATGCAGTTCCTATAATGTTTGTAAGTACCATTTGTTGCATTGCTTAGCACTTTTTTATCTTCAAAAATCTACAGAAATAAAGTTTCTAGTTCTGAAATTGACAGCAGGAGAAGAAAACAAAAACGCACACCAGTCCATTTCAATCTTGAATGTTTGTTTCTTCTTTCTTGGTTTGATATGTGACTGAAGACTAAAAAAGACAATGCTAAACTCTTGTCAAACTGAAACATAAACACTCATACATTATTTCCTGTTTTTATTATTAGTCCTCAGAAGAGAGACATTAAATGTGTCCCCTTTAAATGGAAGTATTTATATTAGCATTAAGGAAAATAATACTGAATTATTCACAGAATGATGTATGTGTTTACAAATATTTCTTTCGACAGCTAATAAGTGCTTAACTAGTAGCAGTTTAATTTCATGTTTAAAAAAAAAAAAAAAAGGTTTAACAACAGAAACAATCTAAAAATTTACCCTGAAGTCAAGTAATTGGCATCAGTCAGAAAGCAAAATTATGAGAATACCACCTTTTCCTTACTTTTTCCCCCTTACTTTGTATCATTTCTCTGGTGTTCATATTATGGAAATAATGTCCTTGACATTAAAATCTATGTGAGGCAAATGGCAAATGCAAAACACTGCATTTTGTTTAATTTAAATTTTTAATCACCTTTCAAACCTATTTACTTGTTCCATAACTTTTCACTGAGACCAAGTGTGATTCTCTACAGTAAATTGGAATAAATTGGCTGTAGCAAAGAATACATGATTAGGCTTCGGAAATAAAAAGAATCAGAGTTTAAAAATCAGGTACAGTGCAGTACTGTCCAGTCTGCAGGCTATTTAGAAATGCACTGGAGACTGATCAAGCCTTGACTGCTTCAGAACTGAGGCCGGAGGTGGCCAGTCCTGCAGTGACACCTCAGCTTAACTCCCATTTCCCAGAGCTATGCCAAGAAAACCTGTCATTTTACATGTAATCCAACTCTCTGACTTTAAGTAAATTAAACACTTGGGATCAAACTCACACATAATGTAAAATTATGAATTTAACAGACTATACCAAAGGTTATTTTTTTCCTCAGTGTTATGTTATTTGATGGCTTTTTTGTGTAGTGATTTGTGGATTTATGCAGCAGTTTAATGGCCCTGATGACTTCACTCTCTTATGTCTGAAAATCTTTCTCCATTCTGCATTTCAAATGTCTGTAGTGATTTAATGTAACTAATCCAACTTACTAAGGAAAGAAAGTTCTCTCTCTGTGACAACTAACTGCATTTTGAGTTTCTTTGCTGAAACTGTCAACAGGAGGCCAACTAATGCCAAATTTGATACCATTTTTATAAAGTAGGCACTTGTCCACAAGGAGCTGGATCGAGGCCACTCACCGTAACTTATTCTCAGGGCAGGAATTTATCTTTAGATGCTACTGCTGATGCCAGATTTTTATTAGTAATCATAGACCTTCTCTAGAAATAAAAATAAAATTACTGACTCCAGAATATTTCCTGTAAATAAGGCCTGTGGAGCCAGGCTCTATAGGCTAAAGTTATCATAATGTAGTATGACGCAATAAATAGTATAGCCAACCA